CAAAAGGTGGAGGGGGACCTATTGTCTCCCCTCCAGGCCCCCACCACCGCTCAACGACCCCCCCAAGTGACTAGGGGTCGCCAAGCCTCGAGTCACCCCCTACCCAATAAAATTAAACCCAACCTACCCCCTCACCCTAAAAATAGTGTGGGGGGAACAAAAAACTAAATACCTGGAAAAAAAAATTATACTTACCATTAGATGTCTTCTTTTTTCTTAAACGTTCCTTTTACAGCCCAAAAAAAGGCCAAATAAAAGAGTGTTCTGATAGGTACATTTGAGCCTTGCCTGATAGGTAAATTTAAGCCTTGCAAGTTACCAATCAGAGCACTCCTATTGGTTGGCTTAAACCAACCACTCAGAGCGCTCTGAGTCAAATTGCAGGTCATAATACAATATGATATGTTCCATTAAGAAGTTGGATTTGGCGTCAATTGCCTAGGAAAGAGTTAAAGCTCTAGTGTATAAGTAAAGCGGGAAGGGATTTATATATTCATATCCACCCACTTAGAGACGTAATGAAAAAGGTACTCCGTCCAGACGTTTAGTGACTGTTCACAGAGGGTGTGCGGTTTGATATTCAGTCACTTATGTCCAGATGCAGGGAGGAAGAGACTCGGGGACGTCAATAACGTTCTGACGTCATCAGCGTGGAACCCGGAAGAGGGATCAGCTGGAGGACATAGGCAGAAAAATCCAATCAATAAAAGCGACAAATCTACGTTTAAAAAGCTGGAAGAATACAAGACAGAAGGACACGGACAATTTTGAGAAAGGCTTGTTTTGCCGAAACGCGTCAAGTAAGGTGGACTGGAATATCCTATATTTATGAAATTTTTATGTTTTAATAGTGCTTAAATAAATTGCTAACCCTGCCCCTGATTGGCATTCTGGAGTTTATGAGTTGGGATTTTACTCCAAGAAAAGCTGGGAACTGCACTGCAACTATCTCTAAAAAGCACCCACCATGTGAGTGGGACCATATAGTGGTTATCATATCAAATTATACTGTACTGTATTACCTTATGATAATAATAGACAAGTCCCTAATATCAAACGTCAAATCAAAATACAAATAACGGGTTGTAATAAGGGGGGAAAAACTCCTAAGTTGAGGTACAAATAAAACTAAAAAGGATAAAAGGCCAAATATAATGTAAAAGGCATATAATGAAATTCAAGGCTCACCACATTTTAAGAAAATAAATTCAATAGTACTTTTTTTTTAAATTCTTTTATTTTGTTGTGCACGTAGTTACAAACAGACTTGCAGAGCCACAACAGCTAATGCCGCCTCCCCCGCAGGTACTGTGAGTAGGCCTGTTGTAGGCTTCACGTCCGCTCCCAATAACAGCCGACGATCTCAACCTGGAACAAGAGTAATGTCACTGCCATGATCTCCCTCTGTCTCCTGGAGAGGTCAGCAGTAGAAATTCAGGCATAAAACCGATGATTTAGGCTGTTTTAGCACTTTTTCCCCCAGAGCCCACAAGATATGCGGCCGGTCAGCTCGGCTGTCAGGCTCCGCCCCCCCAATAGTACTTTTTGAAAGGACGACATATCACATTGGACCATAACAGAACATCAATTGCAATATAAGCCATCGAAGGGTGTGAACTGGTCCAAACTGACGCACTCTTGGAAACTTTGGTGCCACCTTCTTTGTGTTTTACACTAGTTTTATTATTGTTTAACTGAGCTGGAAAAAGAGGGACACTAGAGTCACAAGAAGCATTACAGCTTTATGTAGTGGTCCTGGACATATAGCCTGTCCCTGCAGACTAAGCAGAGTAAATGCTACCTTTTCTGAGAAAAGACAATGTTTACACGGCTCTATAATGCCACCTCTATTGTCATCATGGAGATGCATTGATTTAATGCATCTCTCTGAGTAGATGCTGGTTGACGAAAGGTGAATGGGGAAGCACTGGATTGGCTGAGGTCAATCATTAAGAGTGATGAGTTCAGGTGGAGGGGTGGGGTGGGAGTAAAAGTGAGTCGAACTTCATTTTGAAATCATTTTGGGGGAGCCCAGGATCTAAATTGGTGGGCTTACACTATAGCATTAGGAATTCAATGTTTATACATTATAGTGTTCCATTTATAAAAGGGGCAAAAAAAAGGGATGAAGTCGCTTGAGGAACAAGCTCTTGGGCTCCACACAATGATTAAATCATTATTTCCAGTCAGCCAGCAGATTCTATAGCTAAATAATTGATACTACCCTGTGTGGACCTTGGTGTACTGGCAGATATTTATATCGGAGCTTTCCTGGTCCAGATTGTCATCCTTTTACTCTTTGTGGCCTTCAAGTGCATCTGGTGTCAGAGAAACGGCCATTCTCCAGGCGCTGCATACAGCTAACTACAGCAGATTTCTGCACCTCTCTTATCCCCTCTTGACCGGCGGGGGTTATCCCAGGCCCAAGAGTATCCCAACCACTACACCTGGCACTTATCATCACTGGGTGCAAGGGTGCTTCGTTGCTCCCAAGATGGAGGCAATCTCGGTGGGGGCTCACAGCTTCTCACGCCCGGCTGGACTTAATTTTTGCGAGATTCTAGGCTAAACTGGCGGCAAATCAACAGTGCAAGCAGCTTCCTGACCAGAATGCCGCTGATTCTGTGACCCAACAATCCTACCTGCATCACACCGTTCCAAGTTCGGAGCTATCCTGCAACCGGCCAAGTCAGGCCACAGTGGCATAAGTACCATTTCAGCTTATTCTATATGTGATGGACTCCTGTTTTACATTTCAGCTTTTTTTTTGTTTTTTTTGTTAATCAGTCGATTACAGCTTCTGTTTCATCCAAAAGCTTAGATTGGCATATTCCACAGTTATTATACTTAATTTTTATCCACATGTCCCCCTAGTCCTGCATATCTACAATAAGCCTATCTTTTACCCGACAGTTAGACATATCTGAATAGCCTGATACTCTTGTTTAAATTACTTTAAAAATTGTGTACATTTTCTCTATGCCATGACAATGTATGATTTTAAAGAGCTTCCTACTGCTATTGTGGCATTGTAACATGTTTATCATCTCATGCACAAATAATAATAACGCAAGATAAAGAATAAAAAATTAAAATATTAAGGGTGTCTGATTAATATCTCAATTAAAGTTTGCTTTTATGGTATATTAAAAAAAAAAAAAAAAGGGTTCAAACCAGAGCTGGAACTGAAATGATGGAAAATAAGCGTCAGTCCGCTGTAGTGGTTATTATTCCAGGAGCACCCTAGCCTAGCTCCCTGGTAATGGGGTAACCCTTTTAGCAACAGTTTGTTCCATTACCTGGGTTCCCTGACAGGTTCTGATGCTCAAAGTGGACTGTGCAAATGCATCTTATTCTCATATAAAATAAGTATAATCACTGGTTTTGTGCAATGCTTTTATGTTAATTATTTCCGAACATCAAATAAGTGCTACAATAGTAAAACGTGTCTTTGATCATAAAGATAAAAGTTTCCTACTCAAAGTTACAAGAAGAGCTAATATTCATAAACGCTTCAAAGTCAGAGCTTTATCTCGGCAATTTCTTATTCTTTGCAAGTTTATAAGTAACTGAGGTGCCAGTTCATGTGTATTTTGAACAAAAGTAGTTCTGAGATTGGTGTTTGCATTACACCACAAGAGAAGGCATTCAAAATCACAGGTGAGGAAAAACTGTACAATTTCTGCTTAGATTTCCTTTGATTCCAAAGCATAGTATTGTCATGTTACCTGTGTACTGCTTAATCACTTTCTATGTTGCTAACTGATGAGATACCTTGCACCATCTGACCTTTGCTAAGCACAGCTTCCCAACATTCATAAACACTGATCAGCTACAACATTAAAACCACTGACAGGTGAAGTGAATAACATTGATTTTATCATTACATCAGCGCCTATCAAGGCGTGGGCATTAGGGAAGCGAGTGACCAGTCAGCTATTAAATATCTTGTGTTTGAAGCAGGTAAAATGGGCAAGTTAAAAGAGCTCAGTGACGTTCACAAGGGCCAAATAGTGATGGCTAGGTCTGGGTCAGAGAATCTCCAACACTTGTGGGGGGTTCCCGGTATGAAGTGGTTAGTATCTACTAAAAGAGGTGACAGGAAGGACAATCGGTGAACCGTTGTTGCGGTCATGGGCACCAAGCACGCATTAGGCTTTCCCAAAGGAAAACATTGGAACAATGCTTTCCTATACCGGGTTTGAATACGCTGGATGCCGTAATGCAAAGTGTGAGGATGTCCAGCGTTGTTTCACAGAGTTAAACTCTGTGATAGAGCAGGAAGTGCCTCTAGTGGCTGTCTGCTATACAGGGACAATGCATCCAGAAGACCACTTTAGTGAGATTAAATAGTGTGACTATAGGGTTCCTTTAAAGGGACATTCTAAACAACTAGTTTGCTGTAGTGCAGATCTCAATAGAAATTGGCATTTTTATAAATTAACCTGTTACAAACAGACAACCAGTCCTGTTACTTCCTGGTTTGGTGAGCTCAGGGGAGCTAAACTCGGAGTCAGGCAATTGCCCAGACTACCTGTCTTGCAGAGACTTCTCATTGAGCTGCATTGAAGTCTGTGATTAGACAGCCACAGATATTTGAGGGCTTGCAAAGATATACCCCAATAAAAAAATGCATTTTTAAATGCACAGATGTCCAGCCCCCAGCTTCAGAGGCCCCTTTGAAGGTGACCACAGACATATATTTGAGGAGTTTTGGGATAGTAATGTCACTTTCATTATAATTTTCATTGAGCAGATATATAATTTGCATTGTAAGTATATACATTAAAGCACCATCACTTTAATTGTTTCATTTTGGCACTGCATTTTTTTAAATTGGGTTTGTCACATTAATTTTGAATTATATATATTCACAAAGCTCTTACAACAGATTATTTAAATAAACTTTCACTTAATTAGAACTAGCATTATTTAAAGGGGAACTATAGTGTCATAAAAACAAACTTGTTTTCCTGGCACTATAGCTTCCCCCTCCCTCGCTCATCCCCTCCTGAGTTGCAGAAGGGGTTAATAACCCCCTAATAACCCACTTACCTGGGTCCAGCACCGATGTTCCTCGGCTCTGGCTCAGCTTCTGTCTACTGGCGGGGGAGACCTAATGCGCATGCGCAGGAATGGCCGCACTCGCATTAGGATTTCCCAATAGGAAAGCATTATTCAGTGCTTTTCTATGGGGATTACGGTGACGCTTGAAGTCCACGTGAATAGTGTGAGTACGTCCAGTGTTGTTTAGGCGACCAAAAGTTGCCTATCCACCCAGAAGTCCCTCTAGTGGCTGTCTTCTAGAAAGACACTAGAGGATTGGTTACCCCTAACAGGTAATGATTGCAGTTTACGAAAACTGCAATAATTACCACTCTAGGGTTAAGAGTGATAGGAGTCTGCACCCAGACCACTTCAATTAGCTGAAATGGTCTGGGTGCTTACAGTGTCCCTTTAATTTCTCTTCCATGTTTGCATTAGTGTAGGACCCACCGATATTGGGGTACTGTGAAGTAGTGGTGGGCTTAAAACAATATAACCATATGGTGGAACAGAATCCCCATATTTGTTTGCTGAGATAGGCAATTTTAAGTAGACTTATAGGATTTAGAAAAGTATTTTTATTAGTGCGCTGCTCCTTAATCTGTATTATGTATGAATTTTGGTCACTACGGCAGCACTATTCCTGCAAAGTGCATGTTCTGGGTGTGCCCCCAATTCCTTTTTGTCTGTACACACTGACACACACTCTCAACGCCAGACAGTCTCATTGATTAGAAACACATTCACTGACAGACAGACACACTGACACACACTCTCAATGACAGATACACAACCTCACTGATTTGAAACACACTCACTGACACACACACACTAACAGACACACTGACACAATCTCAATGACGAACGCGCAGTGTCACTTATTTGAAACACACTCACTGAGATGCACACTGACACACATACACACACACACAATCACTGAAATACACTCTCACTGAAATACTCACTGACAGACACAAATATATACTGACACACACTCTCAATGACATAATCTGAGACATAGATACACACATTAACACAAAGATACACACTGACACACACATGCAGATACACAGAGATACTGTGCTGTGTGTGAGGGGTGTTCTGTGTGTGTGATGGGTGCTCTCTGTGTGTGTGAGGGGTGCTGTCTGTGTGAGGGGTGCTGTGTTCATGTGTGTGAGAGGTGCTCTGTGTGTGTATGTGTGAGAGGTGCTCTGTGTGTGTGAGAGGTGCTCTGTGTGTGTGGTGCGTGTGTGAGGGGTGCTCTATGTGTGTGATGGTGTCAGGATCGTGACAGGGATCCAACACGCAGAATACAAACAGGGGATAGGTACGTATACCGGACCTTAGAATGGCCGGACTAACGTAAGGAGAAGGCAAAAGAATAGTCAGAGACAAGCCGAGGTCGAGGGAACGAGAGATCAGGTAAGCGAGAGACAAGCCGAGCCAAAAGGACAAGAGAGGAAAGCAGGGTCAAAATACAAGCCAAGTCAGGAACCAAAAGACAATAGAGGAAATTGCACTGAGTGACCAGACTAGCTAGAACCACGACAGGGCAATGAATCATTTCACAGAACCCTTTTTTATACCTTGGCTCTTTAACTGTTGGCTCCGCCCCCAACGAGTCCTGATTCGTTGTTCGGCACTTGGTTGCCGTGATTGACGGGTCGGAACGTGATTGCCGTCATGACGTCGGCTACTGAGCGCCGCGTCATAAAAGGAGGCGGAGCTATCGCGGCCGGCGTGTAAACGACCGGGAGGAGTGCAAGGATCGGGTGAGTCAGCCCCCCTGGGAGGATGGACGTCTAGGTGTCTAACCTCCTCCGAGGTAGACACCAAAGGTACCCTGACAGTACCCCCCCTCTCAGAAACGCCCACCGGGCGGAAGGAACCGGGGCGGAACGGAAAACGAGCATGAAATGCCCGGAGGAGACGAGGGGCATGCACATTTTCATGAACCACCCAAGACCTTTCTTCAGGCCCATACCCCTTCCAGTCAACAAGATATTGCAACTTCCCCCGAGAAATACGAGAATCGAGAATGGATTTGATTTCATATTCCTCCTGACCCTCAACCTGGACAGCGAGAGGGGAGGACTCAGCGGAGGAAAATCTGTTGCAAACCAAAGGCTTCAATAAAGAAACATGAAAAGAGTTAGGGATGCGCAGGGCAGGCGGAAGGGCAAGACGATATGCAACCGGGTTAATCCGACACAGAACCTTGTAAGGGCCTATGTAACGAGGGGCAAATTTCATGGAAGGAACCTTCAAGCGGATGTTTCTGGTACTCAACCACACCCTATCACCCGGGGCAAAAACCGGAGCCACCCGTCTCCGTTTGTCAGCGTGTCGTTTGAACACCATGGAATTCTGAAGAAGAATTCGTCGAGTCTGATCCCACAACTTTCTCAGATTGGCGACATGAACATCAACCGACGGAACCCCTTGGGAAGGGGAAACCGACGGAAGAATGGAAGGATGAAAGCCATAATTCAAGAAAAAGGGGCTAGAACGAGTAGAATCACAAACGAGATTGGTCGAAGCTACACTTTTCCAATTTGCAGTACAATCCATGTTGTAACAGTTTGCGCAGTACCCTTCTGACTTGTCTGTGGTGAGTCTCAATCTCTCTAGAGTGTATTAGTATATCATCCAAATATACTATAACGCATTCATGCTGAAATTCCCTAAGAACCTCATTAATAAGGTCCTGGAAAACTGCAGGTGCATTGCAAAGCCCGAAGGGCATTACCGTGTATTCATAGTGGCCATAACGGGTATTGAAAGCTGTTTTCCATTCGTCTCCCTGCTGAATTCTCACCAAGTTATAAGCTCCCCTCAAATCTAACTTGGTAAAAATCTTGGAGCCTTTCAGTCGATCAAAGAGCTCAGTAATTAAAGGAATAGGATAAGCATTTCTAACAGTTATCTTATTCAAGCCCCGATAATCAATGCAAGGCCGTAGAGTGCCGTCTTTTTTATCTACAAAAAAGAAACCGGCCCCGGCCGGAGAAGATGATCTCCTAATAAATCCTTTGTCTAGGTTTTCACGTATGTACTCCTCTAGGACTAAGTTTTCCTTAGTGGATAAAGGATATACCGTACCCCTCGGAGGCATAGTACCAGGTAGGAGTCTAATTTTACAGTCGAAAGACCTATGTGGAGGTAAAGTATCAGCCCTCTTTTTGTCAAAGACTGCCTTTAAATCCAGGTACTGCGACGGTATCTGTAAATCTGTAGGTTGGGAAGAGTTAACCGGGGCGTCAACCCTGCAAATCGGTGAGACTTTCTGCAAACATCCTCTCTGGCAACCCTGACCCCAGGAGACTATCTCACCCAGTTCCCAGTCAATGATAGGGTTATGCTTCTTAAGCCAGGGATACCCCAAGACTATAGGAACTGAAGGAGATGAGATCAGCATGAGGGATATTCTTTCCTCGTGAAGGATACCAGTGGTTAACTTAATTGGATATGGTTTCACGAAAAATAACAGGTTCAGATAATGGTCTACCATCTATGGCCTCAACGGCCAAGGGTGTATCCCTTAGCTGAGATGGGATAGAATGGTTAGTGACAAAGGCTTGGTCAATAAAGCTTTCAGCTGCTCCGGAATCTATCAAAGCCATAGCATTAAGTACTCCCTTTTCCCAAGCTAAAGAAACAGGTATCAGAAGCCTATGATCTTTATAATCATAAATAGAGGACAAGATAGAAACACCCAAGGCCTGTCCTCTTGAGAAACTTAGGTGCGAGCGTTTCCCGGCCGGTTAGGGCAATTTAGGCGTAGGTGACCTCTAATTCCGCAATACATACAAAGACCCTCCCTTCTCCTGTACTGTCTTTCCTCTTCTGAGAGTCGAGTATTACCTATTTGCATAGGTTCTGGGAGAGCTAAAGTAGTAGAATCAGAAGTCTGAAATGAGGGAGCTAGTCTTATGGAGGATCTGCGGGTTCTATCCCGAATATTCTGCCTCTGTCTCATACGTTCATCTATTCGGGAAATAAATGAAATCAGATCCTCCAAATTTTCAGGAAGATCTCTTGTGGCCACCTCATCTAAAATCTCATCAGATAACCCGTTCATAAATACGTCCATATAAGCCTGTTCATTCCACTTGACTTCTGCCGCCAAGGATCTGAACTCCAAAGCATAATCCACTAGGGTTCGGTTATACTGTCTAAGACGTAACAGTAGTCTAGCTGCATTGGCCTTTCTTCCTGGAGGGTCAAAAGCTCTCCTAAAAGCAGCGACAAAAGCATTATAATTATAAACTAACGGGTTATCATTTTCCCACAGGGGGTTAGCCCATCTAAGTGCCTTGTCAATGAGCAAGGTAATTATAAATCCAACCTTTGCCCTGTCAGTAGGGTAGGCGTGGGGTTGTAATTCAAAATGAATACCTATCTGGTTTAAAAAACCTCGACAAGTGTCAGGAGCGCCGCCATAGCGTGACGGGGACGTAACACGGGAAGAAGTAGCCACTGTGGCTACCTCTAGGCCTGTACTTATAGGAGAGATAGATGGGGTACGCATCTCCTCTGAGTGACTACTAGGACGAGATAGCAATGCTTGCAGAGCTAGAGCCATCTGGTCCATTCTATGATCCATGGCCTCAAATCTAGAGTCAGGAGAACCGACCTGAGAGTTTGTACCTGCAGGATCCATTGGCCCTGTCGTAATGTCAGGATCGTGACAGGGATCCAACACGCAGAATACAAACAGGGGATAGGTACGTATACCGGACCATAGAATGGCCGGACTAACGTAAGGAGAAGGCAAAAGAATAGTCAGAGACAAGCCGAGGTCGAGGGAACGAGAGATCAGGTAAGCGAGAGACAAGCCGAGCCAAAAGGACAAGAGAGGAAAGCAGGGTCAAAATACAAGCCAAGTCAGGAACCAAAAGACAATAGAGGAAATTGCACTGAGTGACCAGACTAGCTAGAACCACGACAGGGCAATGAATCATTTCACAGAACCCTTTTTTATACCTTGGCTCTTTAACTGTTGGCTCCGCCCCCAACGAGTCCTGATTCGTTGTTCGGCACTTGGTTGCCGTGATTGACGGGTCGGAACGTGATTGCCGTCATGACGTCGGCTACTGAGCGCCGCGTCATAAAAGGAGGCGGAGCTATCGCGGCCGGCGTGTAAACGGCCGGGAGGAGTGCAAGGATCGGGTGAGTCAGCCCCCCTGGGAGGATGGACGTCTAGGTGTCTAACCTCCTCCGA